CGCGTAATATTTTACACGTAACCCGCATGTGGCCCTCTGGCCGGTAACTAAACATCCTCACCGGTATAATAGAAAATTATACCGATCGAGAAGTTAATGACTTGCTCTTCGTATGAAAAACAACAATGATTTACGTAATATTTATACACTATTTCACAATATCATAATAAGTAATCCAAACAACGAAATTCATTTAACAAATGTATAAATTATACAAACGGTGTTGGAAATAAAAAACAAATAAAACTAGACTATATACCTAAGGTTTAGTATTTAAAAGTTAAAATAAGATAGATTTCTCTAAAAATGTCTATTTTCTAAGTATTTTTTTGTAAAAATGTCTTTATGCATATAATTAAAACAACAGAGAAAATTCGGTAGTTATGTAAATTAAAAGTAATATTGTCCTACAAAATAAAAATTATATTCTCAACATTTAAAATCATATTCAATGTACTTAATGTATTTTTAATTTAAATTTTAAACTTCCATAGATTATAACTATCATCTTTCCACCATGTGTAACAAACTATGACATACATATTTAAAAAAAAAATAAAACCTATGGTAAAACAAACAAGTTTTGTATCCATGATTTTAAGCTACCGTTAATCCCTGCCAATAGCGAACATACAAATTCAATTACAAAACTTACACATTAAAAAGTTGGTTTTCATCCTGAGCACACTTTGTTTACAATTACAAATCATGTTTATATATTTTTTATTTAAGTATGAGTATAAAAGAATATTGGATGTTATTTTTTATAAACGAGAATAATAATTCTTTGTCATGTATCTTAAGTATAATTATACGGCAAAGACTTTCAGTTTTAAAATTATTAATTTCATTTGCTGCAGAATCTAAAAAAATTATATTTTAACAATATACACGTAATAGTGACAATTTGTGTGCAAGAACTAAATACGTATTTTACCGTAAAAACCACATGGAAATTTTGAAGCTGTCACAAAAACACACAAGTCATAAATTATTATGGCGACCCATTGTCTTGTTGAAAGAGAGGAAAAGGGGAAATAGTTGAATGACCAGTAAATCGGTGTCCGTTGCGTAAAGTGCGGATTGGTCGAGGCAAAGAGAGGAGGTGGAATCACAAAGTTGCGTTGCTTTTCCGGTCAACGCAGTTGCCATTTCCACACGGAGTCATCGCTTTCCTATGTACCTACAATCTACATATATATATGATATATTTGTATATAAATACGCAATGTATGTACAAAATTAAATATATATATATATGAATACATACACAGTAGACACTATGGCATTGTATTAGTTATGGAACTGGAAACGGTATTCATCAAATCTACTCTACTCCCATTCTTTGCTGAAGTAACTAACAGAGAAGTGAGGTAAAGTCTTCAAAACATCGTATAACATTATTGTCAACAATTATCAAATTATGTTAATCGTGCAATATGAAATGTGATTTGAAAAAAAAAAAACAAAAACTTTTTGAAGTCAATGACAACAAAGGGTTAAGCAATTGAACTATCAAGAAAAGAAAAGTTAATTAATTTAATAATTATCAGAAACACATAAACTTAGCAACTTTAACATCACCATAGTTATTTAAAATAAATTAAAAATGAGCACGAAAATTACCATCTGTGTTTGAGGTTTTTATACATTATAGTTTCAAAGTTTTAGTAAAGTGGTTAAAGAGCAGCACGAAATGTACCCTTAAATTAAGAAAGAACGCATCACTAAGATAGACTAATTAACGGGACTCAATTTTGAAGTTAATAACTTACTTTGAAATATTTATGTCGTTTAACTGTAGATTATATAAATTATTTATATTAAGCAAATATACACCTCTCGACTTGAATTATGAACTTTAAAAATAACATCGAGGTATAATATCAAATTAAATACATTGATTAATATTTATATTGATTTGTTTTTGTTTTTGTTATTTAAATTAATTAAAGATATACTACATTTGTCCTTAAATGGAAGGCTCATTTAAGTCGTTGAATATAATATGTAATATGTATGCATTAAAACAATCTATTCTTAATTTAATATTTAGACTATCGCTAAAAGAAAATTATATTCAAATGTTTTAAATAAACATAACATCAATTTTAAAATACTATACAGATTTTTAAATTATCATCGTGCATTAATAAATTTACTAATTTATAAATATATTTAATCATTATTAAATGACAATAATATAAAACTACCCAAATCAAAAAATAATTGTCTAATCCCATTCCACTTATAACTATATGTACGCGACAAGATAATAAAGCAGCGATAATTGAATTGTCATAACAATTAATGAATATTTAATATAAAATAAAAATACCAGAAATCAACTACCCAGTAAGTACCCAATAGGAATATTTTGCTGTCACGTTTATATATCGTTCTATAATTTCCAACCAACTGGCAGTTTTCACATTTCTCAATTAACATAATGGAATTAATTAATCATGTCTAAAATTTCAAATGTCAAAGCACTATATATCGGGAATTCAAATTCAGTTTCAACTTTATTATACTAGATTAAAATTAATTAGTTTGTTTAAAATGTTATTGGTTAGAAATAACATAAAAACTACATTATAAAATAATACATAGTTCCAATACAATTATTTGCCAACCTATACATTATAAAAATATATCTACAAAAACCAAGAATTAATAAAATGATTAGCAGGTATTTATATTATATATAGGGATTGTAAGTTTCAAATTATATATTTATAGACCTATTTATTATAAATTGTCTCAAGGTACTCAGATTAACTCAGAAGTAACATAAATATTTTGTAACATAACTGTTATTGAAAATGTTATTATTATTAAACAAAAACATTCTATAATAATAACAATAATCCGAAAAATAATAATTTTTTTAAATAATTGTATTATTAATATTTATTATATCTATTTATTTTACAATAACAAGGTTCTAGAATTAAGTTTATATTTTTTACAGTTACATATTATACGATAATACGGTCTACAGTTATTAAATCATAGGTATATTAAAACGAATTGTACATACTTACATAAAGAGCAAGTTAAATTATTACAAAAGTACAATTATTGACTTTAGTTTCTCACATTTTATTGAGCTACCTATGCATATTATACTTAGTTTAAACACATGTATCCTATCCCCTTTTATTATAGCCTAAATAATACTATTTTATCGGATAGGTTTTAAAACTTGTATATTATTTTATAGTCAAATTAAAACCTTCAACATTGTCTCTTTGTATAAGTAGGTACAATAGATAGAAAATCAATAATCTAAGAGTTACGAATATATTTTTATATTTTTTTTTATGTTCTTGACTACGGCAACATAAAAAGAATTATTCATTAACCATTGTTAAAATAAATGCGTTTTCCTAAATATAAATCGAATGAAGCAGCAACATAAATCGAATGCGTCAGAATATCACAAAAGATTTATGTAGATCAATTTCAATGTCGACGCAATTATAAAATATATTGAGTAAGCAAATTCTATGATAAATGCATGTGACATCATTATCACTTAATGCATTCGATGCAGTTTATTTTTGCTAAATCGAGTAGAACCCTTTGAAAGTTGAAATAAACTTGTATCATTCTCAAATAAACACATGACAATGATATCTTTTGTTTTTCAGATTTTTATTAAGACCACCATCAATTTAATAAATAAATATTTTTCCCCCATCCAGCACAAATTAAAGTATTATACTTAGGTATCTACCAATATATTATTATAAATATACAATTATTAAATATGAAGTTTAAGTTGTGTTTGACATTCAGTTTGGTCACGTGCAAAAAGGTCATTCTGTAACCTTTTTCATTGCGGACATTTTTAAGACCTTAACCCTCTAAGCCCTTTGGACATGATACAACACATTAATTGTTTAGACCCTTTTTGTACTTAAACCTCATTAAGACGTAAAAAGTAAAAACCTCGGTACTATTTACAGTTATAATTTTCAAAGTTAGAATAGAAATGTACTATTTAATTTAATAAAAATGATGATGATATAAAAATAGATGTAAACTGTAAACACATATTATATTAATTACAAAGGACATATTGTTATTAAATAAAGAATTGGCTTTACAAAGATTAAGTTTGTGCAGTAATGAATACAGACCTGTAACGAAAACAATAGTAACTAATAATTAATAAACACATTTATACAACAAAATAATAATATGATAAATAATCAATATTTATGTGGTTTTTTGCAACGGCATTCAAAATTAGCCAACTCAAATTTCTAGTACCTATATTTTTTTTTATTTAAAATATTATCATTCAATCGTGTTTATAACTCATTGAGATACCGGGGAAATGAATTCATAACAGAAGTGTAGCTAAATAGCCTACCTATAACGCCGAGTGAATGAAATTAATGATTTTTGTATTAAAATATATTTTTTTAAAAATACATAAAAAAAACACGGTTCAATTAAATTAAATTGTTTCTGTATAATATGTATTTTGTAGCTTCAAACTTATATTTTTGAAGGATTTAAAATGATTATTGTATATACCACTCGAGTTTAAAAATCGATTTTAATTATGTATATTACGAATTTACAATACTAGGTACCACTAGTATTACATTTGCATGAATTTTTTCCAAACAACTTCGTGTCAAATGTATATGATTCGTTTCAACTGGGCAAATTCATTAAGTATACAATGCTTGTTTACCGCGTTTATATAATGTCCACATGTTCCCTTAAGGGATTTATAATTTTAATTCTAAAAAACCTTAAATTTTATCATATTGGGCAAAATATGTTTTTGTATGAACCAAAACTGCTACACTTGCACTATCCGATACCAATATGTCTTATATGCATGATGTCACTGAAAATTCGATGTCACTTTAATAATATAATATTATGACATATGGACGTAATCGGTTTTTTACGCCGAAACACGAAACACGATTTATCAATCGTCATTCGTCAGCGATGCAGGTTAACAGCAATTTTTAGAGAAAAAAACGTACCGAAAATGCCTTGAGGAAGACCAGGCATTGTATGATTCCCTCCATGGTGTCGCCGGCCAGGCAGAAAGTGGCGCTCAGATGGCGCCGGCCCTTTCGGACGAGCGCCGCGACACCGGGCGTCGGCTGTGTGGCGGCAGAGGCGGCGGCTGCTGCTGCGGCTGCGGCGGCGGCGGCGGAGACCAGCGTTGGCGCCTGGCCGACGGCGGCCGCAGCGCCTCCTCCCACGCCGGCCACCACCTCGCCGACCACGTTGCTCGGCGTCCTGCTGCCGCCCACCCGCATCCACCGCTCCAGCGACTCCATCAGCACGCCGTCGTCAGCGGCAGCAGCGGCGGCGACGGCGACGACGACGACGACGACGACGACGACAGTTGCAATATCATTCGAACGACAGTCGTCCTACCGTGTTTAACCGTAAAAAATCGATCGGCGAAAATTATTTAAAACATGTATATTAATATACGATATTGTATTATGATATTTAATGGAGAGTGTTCGTTGGTTTCCGTTTGTATTTGGCTTCGACGGAGGTCCTTCGTCCACCCTTGACGTTACGATACTTAACTAGGGCGATCGTTATAGTATATTATTATTATAAATAGTCGTTCCGGCGCACTATACGACGAAGAAGACGACGACACCTGCGAAAAAAATACAATGACGCACCAATTGTAGCTATAGTGGTGAGAGAAAAAGAAAAACGCATGTGTTCTTCGCGTGACGGACACACGTGGTTAACACCCACGCGACACCTGCAGCTACGTACAGCTTGCGCGCACGCGATTAGATTTGAATCGAAATTGCTATCTTCTCCGCAACCCCATCCCCCTACAGCCAGACGGCCAACAAGCCGGCCGCGGAAGGCCGAGGCGCCGCGGGAACCGATTTCTCGTTTCGTTCGATCTCGGCCGTCGTTATCGCAACCAGGCGGCCGACACGGTCCCGGTTGGGTAAGGTCCGGGGTGGGTTCCCCGTTATATACAAACAGTCGCCCGCGTGTCCGATAATTGCTACAGTCTTGTACAAACTGCACGTCTTTAAAGCCTATATTATTATTTTTGAATCGTTTAAAAACACGCTATACGAGTATATTGTTATTACGCACTACAAACGTTATAACTTAGGTACCCATCGGTATATAAGAAATTTAAAACAATTACAACAATGAAATGTCAATAAAAACAATCCTAAACAAATCAGTACTCAGAGGCTACACTATGATACAGAATAATAAAAAAGTTTTTTATTTCTACAAAAATCATTGAAGTATCTACTTGAAACTATATAATAATATAACTATTTATTATAACTAGATTTTTTCTAAAAAGTCTAATAACAAGAAAAAACCTATATCACACGAGTATAATAGTACACAAATACTTTGATAAATATTAATTATTATTATCTACAACATAATATAACAAAGTGCCATATATAGTCCATTAATTCGAGTTCCAAACAATTAAATTTTATTTGAAACCATTTACCACACGTTCACGAATTGGAAGTAATTGTATCCATAATTTCTATTTCGGCAGGCTCATTGTAAGTTTGTATACGGTTCATCGACTTTCAAAAAACTTTAGATCAACTACGTGAACCAATTACTTAGAACCTACCATAATATAACGGTATAAGTAATTACTGAATCAATATGTCTACAGTTATTCGGTCACATCCTAAACATTTGCAAATTACCAAATACATTCATTCAAAGGATTGTCATATATACATATAAAGTGTTGGTATTTGATATATACATATATATATATATATATATATATATATTAAATAATGTATAAACATAATAAACATTGTGTTTATTACATACCAATAGCTTTTATCTAAATTAAACGGATCCCAATGAATATATCGGGTTCATCACAAAGTTTTGACCTTCATAAATGTAATTTCAATAAACATCTTGTTTAATTTAACTTAATTTAACACCTAGGTACATATTTTTAATTAAATTCAAAATTTTAAAACTTATAAATTATACAATATTGAAAACCATATTTTTAAATTATACGAAAAAATTAGTTACAAGATAATATAATGATATTATATAAAATATACAATATTATTATTATATATTATTGGTTAAGATTTTCAAATTATGTCTAATATGTGTATAAAAAAATATTTATTGAATATATACATATAATATTATAATGATTATTTATATATTTACATGATTTAGTATATTTTAGATTCTGAGTGGAACGATGAATGTATTGATTTTACAATGATGTGTTTTTTTTTTAATTTTCTTTTGTGTCTGTCATCACCTTTTAGGACAGTAAAAGTGCTTGGATTTTCTTCAACAGTATCTTTTCTGATAGGAAAGTGAATCTAGTTGGTACTTTGGGGGGTCAAAAGTAAATGATTCCTAAAAATGTCTATAAAAAAGTCAAATTAAATTTTTATGAGCGTTTGAAATTCAAATTTTTACAACATTGGATATTCACTCGATTTCTCATGTAGCGATTTCCTTATTTTGTTGTAATTCAAAAACGAATAACTGTAGATACATGAAAATTTCCCTGAATGTTTATATTAGCATTTCCTATACACCATACAATTTTGAAAATATTTTGACTTTTTTTGAGCTGTTTACGGACATTTTCAGTTTCCAATTTTTTTAGTTTTTTTTTCTATATATATATATCAATAAAGTTTTATCTGTTAGGCCAAAAGTGTAAAAATTTAATACAAGGCTCCTGATACATTGTTACATTATTAGTTGAAAAATATTAAAAATACATTGGCACAAATTTTTTTTATAAGCATTTAAAGATAGAATTTTGACCAAATTTATCAAATTTAAAATTAAATAATTATTTTTTAGTTAAAAATTTATGAAATGTTTAACTTTTATATCTAAGGATTGAAAATTTAAAACAAGATTCCACGTAAGTAGTTAATTCTGTTACCAAAAAATCTAAAAAATACATAAACAAATTTTATTTTTATAGTCATTTTAAGTTCAAATTTGGACGTAATTACATAAAAAAAACCTAGAATAACTATTTTAGTTATTTTGTTGTGATTGTATAATATTATTCGTGGGTACTTGAAACTTCTAAAGTATACTACTATATATCTATGATAGTATCAGGGTTTGTTGTTGGTGTATAACGCGTTATAAGTACCTAATGGATATTGTGATATGATTAATTTGGAATTCATTATAGTTCAATTTTTTTTAATACCATAGATAAGTATATAATATGTCTTATACCTAGAGGACATACCGTCTCCGCTCAGAATCGTTTTTATATACAATGGTATTAAGATAAAATTAATAAAGGTAGGTTAAAAAAAAATTGAATATAAATACCATTATTAATAAGTAATAACTAAGTTATACTGTTCATAATTAGTAAATCTTTATTAAAGCCTGGATAATAATGTAATCACGAAAGGAAGACAACATACAACACTAAAATTCACAATAATATATGTCTAGGGTTGCTTACATCTCAATAGTGTATAAAACGATCTACCTTCAACAAGTGTCTCTTCTTTTCATAAATCTAAGATGCTATTTTCTAGATTCAGACTAAAGGCGCATGTTTATCTTTTTAGCATTATTTATAAAATAAAAACCTATATCGTCGTGTTATGCACACGACTTATTCTAATGGAACTTTTCGATCATGAATCCAAAAACGTTTATTTTTATAGGCCATGACCAGTATGGCAAAGTGAATTGGAAAACACTATGCGTACAACTCTACCATAATGTAGAGCGAAGAAAATGATAGAAGTTCAGAGTTGAAGGTAGAAAATCGCATTTGAAATATTATAACAATGGTTGGAAACGTGTCGAACGGATGTCTATGGCTCCTAATGGCAAAGGGGTAGGATAAGATATTAAAATTTTACACAGCATGCTCCTTCAATAGAAGAACTTTTTCGAAACTTTAATCTTTGTCACTTTTTTTGATGAGATGAGGTGAATAAATAAAAATAAACTTTTCATCGAAAAATATAGTCTCCACCAAATAATAAAAATTTTAAGAACATGATTTTTTTATATTCTGCATTTTAATTAGTTCACAAAACATGCCGGAAAGTAAATTTAAAAAATGTTTAATTAGAAAAACGGATACATTATTAAGTATAACAAAAATACACCACAAGAAGAAAAAATTTTATATTAACTGATAAGATAAAAATCATTGTCATTGTGAACACTTCTAAATGGCTAAACTCATTGTTTTTTTATACATGATGTCTAAGTAAACTCGAATTTAATTATTAATTGGTGCATGGAGTGTTGAACAATATAATTTAATTAATTTTTATATGTGGTATCATATAAAATAAAAAGTAAAACAAAATACCTCTGTTTACTAGGTACCTACACCTGAAAATGTTAACCCAAAACTAATGATCACCTTATAAAATCAACTCTCTCGATCTACTAGGTACCCATATATATCATTTCATTACAACTCGCACTATTGGTCCACCAGAAACTAAAACAAAAAAAATATAAAAGAAAACTACCCAAATCAATAATAAAATTGAATCAGTATACTATAGAAATTAAAAACGATCAATTTATTATGTCAAAATTAATTGATTAATTTCGTCAACTCCTGTATACTTTTTTATTACACGAGATATTCCGAGTATATAGAACCAACGGCATTTTTAAATAATGTCATTTGAGAGTTAAAATATTAAGGATAAGCGGAGAAAAATTGAATTTGCTTGCTCATTATTTTCGAGGGAAATAAAACATAATTTACTAAAGGCAAAAGAGGTGGCGACTTTCTAAAGAATTCCTTACTCGTGAAATATGAGTGGTGCAACCGTCAAGTTATTAAAACAAGTATAGTGTGAGGAATGAAGCTCATTAATCATTATTATAAAAGAGTCGAAAAAACAAAAGCCAGTCAGAATACCATTTGTATAGGCAAAAAAATAATCTACTATTAATTTTAATCACATTATATTGTTCTTGGAAGTACAGAATTTTGTAATGATTAAGTCATCTTGCTCTGACCAACTACCATTTGCCAACAACTATAAAATGTCTCACAGAATGTAATCTCAAACTTCTTAGTTCTTACGCACTATTAAAATTCAGGCAGGTTGACAAAATATTCTGATTTTATTATAAAAATAAAATAGCCGATAGTATTATGAATGAATAGTTACAATTCTAAATTTAAATTGCCAAAAATATAAATAGGTAAATAAAAAGGTGCTCTGCTGTACAGTAGGTTACAAGTGGGTCACTGTATAATGGATGGTATTAAATTTGAATTCAATGATGTAATATCATT